AGGCTATGTCCAACTCTCTCAAGGAAAAACCTGAGAGGCTCAAGGTGTAAATAACATAAATTAATATAAGCAAGGCTTAGCGATTTGAGCTCAAAAATATTTAGGCAATAGGGCAGGAAATCCAAGTCTGACTGTGAGAGGTTACAGTAAATGATGCTAAGTGAATCCAAGGGTTTCTTCAGGCACCTGAGGAGAGAACACATTATTGCTTTCTGTCAAATGGTGTTGAAGAGTGTTCATAGAATGGGCAGCTAAGCAGATGACATTTCTCCCAAACTCATTCTGAATGCATATTGAGAACAACCCTCAGGACATAGCCTTTTGTTTTCTGAACACATACCTCACAATATTCTATTCTGGGTCTTTAAGATATCACCATAATCATGATTCAGTGCTTGACAGAAAACCACAGCAGTGAATATATCAGGACAACATGGAATATGTAAGAAGGACTAATTACCCTAAAGAAAATTCAACAACTTCCTAGTACTGTTTTTAAGAGCTCTAAGAGGTTCTGTTCCTCGAAGTTCCTTGATCCTGTCTTCACCTTGAAACCCATTGTTCCATATTTCTCATCTTCTGAATCTGTTTCTGAACTCAAAAGTTTTTACACATAGGCAATAAGAGGTTGCTGGTGCCTGGTCATACAGATCTTAGTACAGGGTGCATTGCCTCGATATGCTATGTCTCTAATAGTGATAGGTTTAAGTTTGCCAGACCATAAAAGCTTCTATAGCTTCCAAAACGAAATGAAACGAAACAAAACAAAACAAAACCACATCAAAACCAAGACAAAAGAAAAGAGATGTGTTTTCTCTGGTCTACTACTCGACCCTTCCTTACCTGAGGAGTTCCTTCAGGTTGCCATATGTAAAGGAGACATCGTGTACATGGATTCTCTTCAGACACTGGAATGTGGGAAGTTGAGACATTTTGGAATCACTTAGGGTATCTGAGATATAACATAGTTTGAGATTGAGAAGATTGTTCATCTGTCTCAGGTAGGGATTAAGAAAAGCCAAATCTTCTATACGAAGACGAAGTAGCTGCAGATCTTGTATACAGTCTGAATGTAAAAAGTTGAAGAATTCTATGAATGTGGCTTTGGTTGAGCCCTGAATCTTTAGCTTCCTACAGCACAGATGAATGGAATCTTTTCTCTGCTGGGCCCACTGCAACAAGTAGTATGTGGCAGATTCATCAAGTCTGCCCTCTATGAGTTCAAGTTGTGTTGTCACCTTCAATTCTTTCTTCACCCCACAGCCAGGACTATTCTGCACTGGCTGCTTCTGTGTCATGAATCTTGGTAAGCCTTCATAGGATCGAGTGCATATGCCAAAAATATCATGATATTCATCCCTCCAATTGATCTCTCTGAGCTTGCACCTACTGTGGGAGAAATGAGTATAAATCTCAAAAGGTAAAAGAAGACACATGTTATAGTCTGATTCTACTCTACATATTACATTTAAGCTGTTTGGTTCAAAACATTGTTTTCCTGTGTCTAGAATCAAGCCCTGAGACTCATGCTCAGTGAATCAATAGCATTCTTTGCAAGACAGGCATCTTTAGCCCATTTTTACTTCCCTTCATGCAAAGCTCCTTAATCCCACTGTCATTTCACTTGTACCTTGAGGGATGCAGGAAAAGACCCACCCCTTTTGAGTGTGTCTATTCTTTTCTGTCTTCTACATTATTTATTATTTGTCCAGAGAGTTGAGACTAAGTCCAATCCTCTACACCTTTCTCAGCCTCTACGTTCAGAAGGGAACAGTCTAGATTGTGGGTAGAAGAAACAATTGATGATCAGAAGCCTCTGATTCACAGTTGGCCAAATATTCTGTGTCCCTAGTTTCTCCT